CTCCATTCCACAATGTAATGCTTCCTCTATCCACGTGCTTCAACTTTGACCGTAAATTTAACTACCAAGACCGATTGCGGCGGGAGCAAAAATTATATCAGTGAATTCGTATTTGAAAGAAGTTTTCAATTATATAATTTTTTCTCCCGCCACAGTTGGTCTCGTTGGTTAAATTTATGGTCAAAGTTGGACCTCGGGAAGCGCGGGCGCACTATATTTTGGAATGGAGGGAGTATAAACCTCCTCCTCGAAAGTACCTTTGCTGGTTTAATTTATCAAAATATCTCATGTCAGGTCCTAATTATTATTTTTGGAGAAAATTTCTTTGCGGGTTCTTTGATTTTTAGGACTTAATACTATATTTTTTTCCTGAAAATGTCCTTTTTAGACGATGATATGACTTAATACATGTTAGTTAAGAATGTTTATGTCAAGTCCATTACTCTCCTCGCATAATTTGTGTCAATGTTTTGCGCCCATAATAGTTCAAAGGGTTGCCTCTATCTTCATGGAATCAAGAAGGATAGCGTGCAGCTCGAACTCGCGGCAGAAAACTCTTGTTTTTTTTTCATTCTAAATTGGCCAGCTTTTGAGTAGGGAGAGAAGTCATCACCCTTCTATTAGGAATATTTTTATCGGACATGTTGATCCACCAATTCTCGATGGAACGTTGTGCATTCCAATAGGAAGTGTCCAGGATCGTGAGGCGGAGCCAGACCTTTTCCAGTCCCCATAGATTCAAGGTGAACCGCCATTTGTACAAGAGGCGAACTGCAGATTCTTGCTCTTTTTTTTTTGTAAAAATGCCATAAGCCACAACCATCCTTTATGTGGTCCAAATCCTTTTTGAATAGCCAACCGAGAAGAAGAAAAAATGACCCGCGATAGTGGACATGTCTTCCAAACCATTCTTTTCATAGTGGTGCGCATAGCTCTCAAGAATTTTAACTTGTAATCGAAGGCCATCGAGTCCTGACCACTAGTCGTGTGTTCTGAAATAATGTCACCCTCGCTGTCATCTTCCAGATATATATCGTGGAGGCTTGTCCAAGGAGACGACCTCAGAAATGTGGCCATTGATGATTGGGTAGAAAAGCTATGGATATTCAAGCACTGTCCTTCAGGGCTCCCTTAACATTTTTTTTCTGAAACATGCAGGAGAGCTGCATTTGAATATATTAGAATGAGATAAAAAGGGGGATGGCCATACATTTTTTAAATAACATGCAAGAGGTTATAAAGGGAATGCCCATATATTAGAAGGTGGTAAAAAGGGGGTTCCCCTAACATTGTCACCGGCGTGCTAGGAAACCTCCACCTTGAAAGCAACTTAGATGATTTAATGTTATGAAAACATCTAATTAGGTCCTAATTATTATTATTAATGTATAATTTTGACGTCCTTAGAAAATTTACTTTGTGAATTCTTTGATTTTCTAGACTTAATCTCATATTTCTCCTGAGATATTCATTTTTGACAACAATATGACTTTATACATGCTAGTTAAGGATGTTTACATCTAGGCCATTACTCTTGTGACAAGATTTGTCCCAAATGTTCTGCACCAAAAATAGTTCAAAGGGTTGCCTCTATCTTGACGGTGTGAAGGAGGATGCTCTGCAGCGCAAACTTCAGGCGGATTTTTGTGTGTGTTTCTCCCATTTTCAATTGTCCAACTTTTCAGTGGGGAGAGAACTCATGGCCATTCCATAAGGAATATTTTTATCGGACATATTGATCCACCACTCCTTGATGGAATGTTCCGGATTCCAATATGAAGTGACCAAGCTTGCGAGGCGCAACTACAACTTTGGTCATTCGCCATACACTCATGGTGAACCGGCATTTGTACGAGAGGCGGACCGCGAGTTCTTGCTCTCTTTTTGTTAAAAATTCTAAAGAAAAAATTTAGACAAACTTTATGTGGTCCAAATGCTATTTCGAATAGCCAACAAAAGAGGGGAAAACGACCTTCGATGGTACACATGTATTCCAAACCATTATTTTCATAATGGTGCGCATGGCTCCCATTTTTTGCCTTGAAACTGGAAACTTCTCAGTGCTAGCCACTAGTCATGTGGTTTCAAATAATGTCATCCTCGATGTAATCGTCGAGATAAATTTCACGGAGCCTTGTCCAAGGAGACAAACTTAGAAATGTGGGCCATTGAAAATTGGGCAGTAATTTTGATATTGGATATCCAAGCATTGGCCTTCAGGGCTCCCTTAAAACAAATCAAACATGCAAGAGAGATGTATGTGAATATATTAGGAAATAAATAGGGGATCCCATATTTTTTTGGAAACATGGGGGAGAGCTACATGTGAATATATTAGGAGGTCAAAAGGGGCCTCCCTGAACATTTTCACCGACGTGGTATAAACCTCCTCCTCGAAAGTAGCTTTGTTGGTTTATTATCATAAAAAAACATATCATGTCAGGTCCTGATTACTATTTTTGGAGAAATTTTCTTTACAAATTCTTTGATATTTAGGACTTAATCCAATATTTTTCTTTTTAAAAAATCATTTTTAGATGATGATATGACTTTATACATGTTAATTAATGATGTTTACATCAAAGCCGTTACTCTCCTCACATATATTTTTCTCCAATGTTTTTCACCCACAATAGTTCAAGGGGTTGCATCTATCTTGATGGCATCAAGAAGGATGGTCTAAATCATGAACTTGTGGTGGATAACTCTTGTGTTTTTTCCATCCTAAATTGTCCAACTTTCGAGTAGGGGGAGAAGTCATGGCCCTTATATTAGGAGTGTTTTTATCAGACATGTTGATTGACCAATTCTCGATGGAAAGCCCTGCATTACAATAGGAAGTGTTAGGCTCGCTAGGCAGAGCCACACCTTCGCCATTCCCTATAAACTCAAGGTGAACCATCATTTGTGTAAGTGGCGACCTGCATATTCTTGCTCTCTTTTTTGTTAAGCCACAATTTAGAAAACTTTATGTGGTCCAAATCCTATTTTGAATATGGAACCAAGAAAAATAGACCTTCGATGGTGGACATGTCTTCCAAATCATTCTTTTTGTAGTGGTGCGGATAGGTCCCAAAATATTTAACTTGTAATTAGGGGCCGCCGAGTGCTGGGCACTAGTCGTGTGTTATGAAATAATGTCATCCTCGTTGTCATCATCAAGATATATATTGCGGAGGCTTAGTCAAGGAAACAAACTCAGGAATGTGGCCATTGATGATTTAGTAGAAATTTTATGGATATCCAAGAATTGTTCTTCAGGGCTCCCTTAAAAAATTTGAAACATGTAGGAGAGATGCATGTGACTATATTAGAATGAGATAAAAAGGGCATGCCAATACAATTTTTTGTAACATGCATGAGGGATACATGTGAATATATTAGAAGGAGTAAAAAGGGGGCTCCCTTAACATTGTCACTTCCGTGCTATGAAACCTCCACCTTGAAAGCATCTTCGCTGGTTTAGTTTTATCAGAAACATCTAACGTTAGGTCCTAAGTATTATTATTGTAGAATTTTGATGACCTTAGAAAATTTTCTTTGTGAAACCTTTGA